TCCACATAGACTAAAAGAGCAGTCATTCCCATTACAGTTGAATGTTTAATGAAAAGAGTGTGGTCACCTTAGCTTTTTTTATACCCAGATTTTTTCATGACTCTTGCAAATCTGCTAAACCATGCTCTGGGAGATTTTTTTAACCCATAAATGGCAAATGGCCTTTTTCAGCTTGCACCTTGTTACCTGTGTCCCCTTCAAATCCCGGAGGGATGTTCATGTAGATTTCCTCATTTAGGTCACCATGAAGGAATGCATTCTTAACATCATACTGTAGCAGTTGCCAATTGAAGTGAGCAGCCAATGATAACAGAATTCTCACTGTGTTCATTTTTGCAACTGGAGCAAATGTTTCCTGATAATCCACCTCGTAAGTCAGAGTGTACCCTTTAGCTACTAACCTTGCTTTATATCTTTCAAGGGATCTATCAGCCTTGTACTTCAATGTAAAAATCCACTTGCAATCAACAATGTTTTTTTTCCTTCGGTTTGTCAACGATCTCCCATGTTTTATTCTTTTCTAATGCACTCATTTCCTCTTTCATAGCGTCCCTCCATTCCCCTTTTGACAATGCCTCAGACATTGTTAGGAATGACAATGGTGTTCAAATTCACAATGAATCTTTTGTGGGCTGGTGATAGACGCTTGAGAGATACATAGTGAGATAGTGGATAAAGTGGATTTGATTCTTGGACTTGTGTCAGTTCAGGAACGGCCTTTCTCCTTGAATACACCTGAGGAAATCTTGGGAAATTGTGAGTGACACTGGTTGGAGTAGGAGATGATACGGGTTCAGGATCAGGAGACTCAGATGTGATTGGTTCAGAGGACTCGGGTTCAACTGGAACAGGAGGAGAATTTGATTCAGGTTCAACAACACTGGCTGGCACATGTGGAAGGTCAAGGGTTTTAAGTGGTTCAAAGGGCTCACAAGTACTATCTTCCATCCCCCTGAAGAGAGGACTTGAAAAAAAGGGTTTATTTTCTGTGAAAGTGACATCTGCAGAGATGTAAAATTTTCTGGTGGAGGGGTTGTAACATTTATATCCCTTTTGAGTAGAGGAGTAACCCAGAAAAACACATTTGATGGCTCTGGGATCTAGCTTCCCTCTATGTTGTTTGTGGACATGAACAAAGGCAGTACACCCAAATACCCTGGGAGTGAGGCCATTTGAGGTTCTGAAGTGAGGGTAGAAGCTATTTAGGACCTCTATGGGGCTTTTGTTTTCTAACACACGGGAGGGAAGTCTATTGATCATATATGTGGCATAAAGAACGGCTTCTCCCCAATAGGACTTAGGAACATTCCCTTGAAATAGTAAGGCATGGGTGGTGTTGAGTAAATGTCTATTCTTTCTTTCAGCTACCCCCATTTTGTTGGGGTGTGTCCACACATGATGAGTCATGGATAATCCCTTGTGATTGAAAGTAAGATGATAGAATTTGATTGAAGTAGTCTCTAGCATTATCTGTCCTAAAGCCTTTTATTTTGACCCCAAATTGATTTTGAACCATTGAATGAAAATTAGGTATAACAGTGCTAACATCAGATTTTTGTTTAAGAAGGAAGAGCCATATAACTCGAGTGCAATCATCAATTAAGGATACAAACCGAGCCCCAGAAACATTAGGTATAGTGGAAGGACCCCATATGTCACTATGAATCAAATGAAAAGAATGAAAACTTCTTTTATTGCTAATAAGAAATGATACACGAGTATGTTTTGTCAATTCACAAATGTAACAATGAAACTCAAAAATATCTAATCATTGAAATAAATGAGGAAACCTTATATTTAGAACCCCAAAAGAGGGATGACCAAGACATAAGTGATACAACCAAATGACATCTTTGTCAAGGAACTAAGGAAAAATGAAGACAAATTGCTCCTAATTTTTTGGGATGGTTCAAGGTGGTAAAGACCGCTCCTTTCCTTAGCAAGTCCAATCCTCCTCCTCGAGTCCTGTTCCTGAAAAATACAATAAGAAGGAAAAAAACAGCATAACATTTGAAATCATGAGTCAATTTTTGGATGGACACAAGGCTTGTTGACGGTTTGGGTACATGAAGAACGTTTTTAAGGATAAGGCTATGTGTGATATATATATCACCAATCCCTGCAACGGTAGCTAAAGAGTCATTAGCCATGATAATTTTTCTATTACTTGGACATGGGGTATAGGCGTGGAAGAGTTGAGATGTGGGGGTCATATGGTCAGTAGCACCAGAGTTTATGATCCAAGAGTTGGTACAGAATTTGTCTAAGACATTCATGCAAACAGTTTTACCTGAAAGAGCTATCAAACATGCTCCAGAAGGCTTCTCAAGAGATCCCAACAAACTTCTCAATTTCTCAATTTCTTCACTGCTGAAACCCCCTATTGCTGAATTTTCCTCAATATTGGGTTGCTCTGCCATATGCGCTTGAGGTTTTTGTTGCCCCCCACGGTTGCCCCATTAACTTCCAACATTTCTCCCTTGTATGTCTTGGTTTCTTGCAATATATACACCACAAATTGTCTTTGTTCTTCTTCCCTTGAGTATCTCTACCCGAGTGTTTAAGCAGATCATTCTTCGACTTCTCCTGATTTATTTTTGCTACTAAGGCTGACCCATCCATAGTATGTGGTTCAAGCATGACACTCCTCCGACTTTCATCTACTCGGATTAATGAGATTGTCTCTTCTAGAGACGGTGTATACTTCTTGCCGAGGATTTGGATCCTAACCTGATCAAATTCAGAATTCAATCCTGCCAAAAAATCATATATTCGATCATTCTTAATAAACTTCTTCAAAGTGGCAGTATCATCAGAGCATTTCATCTCAATTACTCGACAGTGATTCAGTTCCTGCCAAAGATTTTGCAACAAAGTTGCATACTCTGACAGATTTGTCTCCTTGTTTGGTGGCTCCGGTTTTTGCCTTGATTTCATACACAATGACAGCATCACGGACCTTCGAGTATGTGCGGTTGATATAGTCCCAGATTTCCTTTGCAGTATCCAAGAACATGCAAGTGTCACTGATCGTTGGGTCCATGGAATCCCATAGCCAAGACATAATCATGGAATCCCATTCCTCCTCTTCCCATGCTGTAGAGGCTGGATCCCTTTTTCCTGATCCGGTTCCAAGTAGGTGATTAAGCCTCCCTTTGCCCTTTAGGTACGTGCGGACAATTTGGGACCATTTGAGATAGTTCTTCCCATTGAACCTATTGGATGCCTGAATATTCTGCAACTCTCCAATTTTCTAAACAGCATTGGATTCTTCGGAAGGGTTGGGATTGCTTGGCTGGATCCCTTTTTCCTGGTCCAGTTCCAAGTAGGTGATTAAGTCTCCCTTTGCCCTTTAGGTATGTGCGGACAATTTGGGTTCATTTGAGATAGTTCTTCACATTGAACCTGTTGAATGCCCGAATATTCTGCAACTCTCCAATTTTCTGAACAGCATTGGATTCTTCAGAAGGGTTGGGATTGCTGGAGACAGTGGTTTCGGACATTGACATGGTGGAGAAGAGGAATTCGCAGCAATTAAGACTGGAATCAACGGCAACAGCGGTAAAAGAATCGCAGCAATTAAGGCAGCGAATAAAAGAATCAGCGGCTCAGGAGCCGCAAAGAATCCTCAGAGCGATCGCAAGATCTGCTTCTTTATGCACTTCTTGACGATCTTCCTCGTGAGCAGCGGAAAAGAATCAAATGGTTGCAAGCAACCCTAGAGGCGAATAGCGCAGGAGAGTAGAATGACCCTAAGCGGAAAGGATTGAATGACGACAACAGACGGCGGTGTCCTCTAGGGTTAGAGCCCCAGCTCTGATACCATGTGGGAAATCAGAGAAATAATTTTATATTTCACTTACTTCTTTGAATTGATAATATAATGTATTATATAAGAGTTTACAAGTAGAAAAAACTAGGAAACTATTTCACTAATTCCCTTAATTTAAGGGATTACAAATTAATTCTAATTCCCTCAATTTAAGGGATTAACAATTAACTCTAATTCCCTTAATTAAGGGAATTAGAATTAATTCTCTCAACCTTATTTCCATCTCAGACACATCTCGACAGCGGACAATACTAGAGAGTCGACTTAAATGGTCTGGTCGCCTAAACGCCGACCATCTGATGATCATGTTATGAGAGTATATGTTCTAAATTCGACCATCAGATGATCCTGTTAGGAGAGTAGAAGTTCTAAATTTGACTTATGTTAAGAAAGGCAGAGGTAGACCTAAAAAGACTAGGGAATATTGTATAAAAAATAATATAATCATAATCTATTAGAATTAAATGAAAATATGACACTTAATAGGATGCAATAGAGAAAAAGGATTCATGTAGCCAACCCCACTAGCGGGATAAAGGTTTATTGTTGTTTTGTCTTAGTTGAACGAAGTATGTTCGTGATTATGTAGATTCACTAATAAAAGATAGTACAAGGTCTTCTCATTTTTATAAAAGCAGGCCGTCGATTATTGAATCAAATGCAAATTCATACCCATTTTTGTCTCATTTAATAACCCATGACTCAAAAACTCGAAATCTTATTAAAATAAACTCTAATAATTATCATTTTTTTTCCAGAGATATGTTACAATAATACTTTCATATTTTCCATAAGTTTAATTTTCAAGTTTTTTTTATAATTCTAATTGAAGAACATAAGCATTCATTATATAATAACTATTTGAAGAGCTACTAGAAGAGCACAAGCTTTTTTATAATTTGCAATCACTCCTTCACAAGTTTTATTGATCTTGATAATCTCAAATTAGGTCATTTTGACATCAAACGTACTTGGCATCGTTAAGAATGAATCCATTTCCTAATAAGTGGTTCTATTGAATAAGTTCTTCGACATCAAGTTCTTAAATTCACTCTCCAAAATGCCAAGTTAGGAATAAGACTAAATCAAGTTATGTTAAGCTATTTCAAACCTCTCAAAGATCTAGAACATGAAATTAAAAATTCATCCAGAGAAAAATGTCAAATGATCATCGGCTCAAACCCATCCAATGACTAAATTAACCCCGATCAAAGAAAATAAATGTTCAACATGTTTCTCACAGAAGACACGACTTAAAATGCACCCTCATACAATGCTCCATTGAAGAGCTACTTTTTATTGATTCCATTCTTGACTTAAGAAAAATATTATCAGGTGGACCAATCTACAATGATGTTCAATTCAAACTATCATATATTTCATGAAATAAGAAAGAATATCAATGAAAAAACTCATTTTCATCATCATAAAATGGGAGCATGAAACTTAATAAGGACCTCATCATCGCATATGGTACAGCTCTCAAAGATCTAGAACATGAAATTAAAAATTCATCCAGAGAAAAATGTCAAATGATCATCGGCTCAAACCCATCCAGTGACTAAATTAACCCCGATCAAAGAAAATAAATGTTCAACATGTTTCTCACAGAAGACCCGACTTAAAATGCACCCTCATACAATGCTCCAATGAAGAGCTAAAATAAATACTTTTTATTGACTCCATTCTTGACTTAAGAAAAATATTATCAGGCTCACTAAATCTTCATAGTGGCTTCTGAGGGGACACTCTCCTTCAGGTTAAATTCTGGCTTTCATTCAGCTATGTTTATTGAAGAAGTGATTTGAGGTCAAAAGTAAACTATCTTAAACAATTTTCTAGCACATAGAAAGTACCAAACATAGCAGCGTTGTATGCTAACAGCTTTAGTAAATCCTGTAAATCTGAATTTACTAAATCCTACCAGCAACAGCATTTACTAAATTCTGGATTTAAAGCAAAATTAAGTATAAATTGAAAAGGAATTGGGTTTACTAAATCCTGGATTTAAAATTGCCTTTTTTTTATCTGTCTAGCAAGATTTGACTTAAATCCGACTTAAATCCGTTACCTTAGAACCCCTAGCCTCATCGTCGTGGGGGGCGTCATCGGTAGCGGCAGCGAGAAGAACATCGCTCGAGCCGAGAAAGCATAGAAACAAGACGACTGCGGAGAGAAAGAGCGGTGACGGACGAAGAGTAGCCAGCCGAGCTCCACACAAAATCATGGCGGATCGCCTAGGAAACCCTAGAAACGCTTTGGGATCTCTCCTTTTGCCCTTCTGAGATAAAAAAATTTAATTTGTCTCTCAAAATGGGATTATCAGACAAACCGGGAATGTTGGCAGAAATCAAACAGGTTTTCAGCACGTGCGACGCAGTTATACAGGCCGTTTGTTATAGTTTTTTTTCTTTTTTTAATAGTGATAATGATGAAAGATTAATTTGTTCATGATCGATTTTCATTTGGATTACAAAATAACTCATAAAAATATGATCATCCATTTTGGGCAGCTTGTTTGATGCGGTGACTATTTGAAAACACACATTGCATGTTTGGATAAACTGCATTTTAGCAACTTATGCGTTTCGAAAACGAAGAAGACAGGCGGATTGGGAGTAGCAGGCGGACTTTGCGAGACCAGATGCTAGGCAGAAGAGGAGACTCCTTCAGCTTCACGATACCCAGGGGTATTATCGACAAAAGCTCCCCCACGAACGTGAGACGTGAGGTGCCATCCACGGCCCGTGTTCCGCCGCGAGCGGGACGCTCCACCAAATAACACAAATTCGCGGCGTCATGCAGCGAAGGCACTTATAAGCTGCCCCAAACGGACCCTAAGTGTGGTGGCCTATCTAAGTGTGGTGGCAGCTTTCTGGCAGCGGTTTGACTTTTCCAAAAGAATAAAAATTTGTAATAGTCACCGCACCTAGCTTATTAGCAGATTATATTTTAATCAACTTATCAGCAGATTATTCAATAAGCTGCAGCTGCCTCAAACATACTCTTATATTGTAGATCAAAAATCAGTCTTCATGAGTCAAGGTCTGCGTGCAGCAAACCTTTTGGGTCTAGTTAGTTAAATAATCTAGAAGGCATGACAGTCATTGAAGTAATTGGGTTGACCTGTAGAACTTACTCACCAATGTGTCGACTGTCTTACATTAGTAGTCAAGTTGACCTGTCGGTCTAACTTGGTGAATTGGCTTGTCGATCTGGTGTCTTTGTTTCTGCTAACGAACTAACAAATCAAACTCACTAGCCTAACTCAGTTCTTCGGCGATCCTCAAAACTATCAAAATACTTAAAGTCAAAACGATGTTGAGGATTGACCTATACCACATCTTCATTTATAAGCTATCCCACACACACGTCACGATCTTTTTATCAGGACACTATTGACAAATTTGTATTATACTGGTTGTATTTAAATATTTTCTCAAATAGGTACAAAAGGATCGACACTTCTTCAAGCTATTTTCGAGAGCATTCTGCGTCATGACTCTCACAAAATCTTTCTGGCCCCCTCTTCTCATTAGACTATCTCCTTCACTCTATTAGAGGAGAATCAGAAATAGAAAAATAAATTAGACCTGAAGAACACATCAAACATATTCGTCCACTTTCAGACAAAGCTCTCCCAAGTTGTATGTGCTCACAAATAACACAAAACCCGACGTCCTGAAAAGATAGAACAAAGACGATGATCATGATATAATCATTAATTATTAAACATTTCCATCATTATCATCTTATTATTTGATTGTGATTTAATTAAAATTTAAAGATGAACAACAAACTACACAGTGTATGAGTTGAGAAATTAGAATTCAGTTCATAAGCTTTGTTTAAAAAAAATACATTAGTTTAAGGAAATTAATTATTAAATACATAGTTCAATTTTCATTAAAAATTAATTTTTAATTAGTTTTAGCCATAATTAATTCATTTAACTTCTGAAACAATTGATACACAACATTATTCATTTTTATTATTTTCTAATCAAGCACATCAATATATATGATATATGCCAGAGCACATATCATGTATCACATAAGTCAAATATTATTCATTTCAAACAGCTCGTGTTCGGTTCATCAATGAGTTCGTGTTCGGTTCGTTCGATAAGTAAACGAGATGAACGTGAATAAATTTTTTCGTTCGGTTAGTTAAAAAAACCAAACATGAATAAGGGGAGTGAAATCTCACATATTGCCTCTAAATCTGAATTTTTTTTATGGATGTGACATGATATTCTGGTTTTATTATGAGCTTTGTTTCGAATATTTTGCATTTGAACTGTGATTCATACAGGTTTAAGCATTAATTTCATATATCTTTAAGCTTTTGAAAGATTTAAAACAATTCAAACAATTCAAGCAATACAAACATATTTGTAAGATTTCAAAGAATTCAAATAATTCAAACAATTTGAAGAATTTAAAACTTTCAAACTTTCCAAAGATATTTCAAACAAATCAAACCGAACACGAACAATAATTTTATGAAAAATTTCAAACACGAGCCTATTTTAAACACTTGTAATTTCAAACGAATCGAACACGAACACGAGCTCTGCTCGTTCGTGTTCGGCTCGTTTACCCCCCTAATTATAGCTTTAAATAACATAATATATCAATGCACCACAATAGTCTTTGCTGAGTTATCTCATGATAAATTATGATTATATCAAGATTATGTTAAAAATGGCAAAAAACTTTAACATAAGCTGCATCGCATGTAAATACAAAAAAACATAGAATAAGGTGGTAAAGATTTGGGTGGGGTGGTATAAATATAAAAACCAAAGTTCAGGTTTTAGACATGTAAATACATAGAAATTGGGTGGGTATGTATGTAAATGCCCATTTTTTAAAAATAAACCATATTTTCTCATACATGTTTGATATTATCAATGCAATCAAAATGTTACATGAGAAAACTATAAAATTTAGGTAATAAAAGATATAAATATATAACAAACAACAAGGTATTTGTGTAAATCCCCCAATTACATTTTAGGAAGAATCTTCAGCCAATTGGTCGTAGATCTTTTCAGAAAGCTGCAGTATATAAATCAAGATTCATCATCACTATCATTGCCAAACACTGATGTAACCTTTACGCCTATCTTTGCTTTCTTAGCTGCGGCAGAGTTCTGGAAGAAAGTCAATTGAAACAAAAATAGTTTAATCAAAACTGTAAATTTTAGAGAAAAACTCTCTCTAACAATGCAGTTTACATAAGAAAATTAACATGAAAATAAAATATTTATACATTAAACTGAAAAATAAGGGAAGAAAAAAAACCAAGCAAGCTTTTGAAGGTGTTAGTTATCTACAGTGGAGAGTGTAATAAGCGCAAGATATAAGAAAAGAATAAGCATTTTTCCAAGGGGAAATACATAAATAGCACTTGAAACATTGCAATTTATAAAACTCACAGCCCCTTGCAAGGAGGTTCTAATTGCAATTAGAGGGTTGTATCTCAAATCCAAAAATTACATATAACACCTAATCAATATGCAATATGTGAAAGCAAAACAACAACCACCAACAGACAAAATCAACGTCCTCATGGAAACTCCCAACTCACGAGCCCGACCGCCCGCCCGCTCCAACCTAACAACATGAAATGGTTATATAGAGCCTCCAATTCAAAGTTGTCTTTTTTAACATTTGATTCGAGTAATCAAAAAATTAAAGAGCTTATGAAAATAAGAATCAAAGGCCAATTATCTCATTCAAAATACCAAATAGCCATGCACATAGATAGATACAAATCAATCAAGTAATGAGTAACCACAAAAAAATGTATCATGCTACTGGAGCTAATCAAATTAAAATTGTGAATGAATTTGATAGATAGTTAATAACGAAAAGAAAAGAAGAAACTTTGCTCTCTTTCCCTCTATACAAATTCCCAAATTTGTTCTTAAAATTATTACCTATTGATTTCAAAAGCAACATCAAACTATTCATTATCATCTATCACATGCCTATTGATGTAGCAGTTCATCAAGCAACAATAGCAACAATCCTTTATCCCACTAAGTGGGATCAATTACATTAGTCATTTTTCCCCATTGTGTCATATTAAGTTACACGATGATTTAAAGAATACATGTGATTTTTTTGACAAATTTTATACTGGTTGTCGACTATCTAATGCAAGCCTCCACTTTTGGCATCTGGGGCTTAGGACCCGACAATGATAGTTAACAGTTCATAAAGTATGCACCAAAAATGCAACAGAAAAATGACAATCTATAAAAGCTCCCATAAGAGCGAGAGACAGATACATAAACCACACTCCCAAAATTGTTTCCAACTTAACCACCTACTGATTTCAAATGTAGCATCGAACATTTCATTTTTATTTCAACATTTTTCAATATAATCTAATCACTCATCAAGTATGTACTATGGAAACCCTTGGAGAAATTCACATTTGTAATTTCCCAATAAAAACTATATATTATGTTCTAGAATGAACAACTCATGCTTTAAACTAAAATCACTAGCAAGATAACTTGCAACAAAAATTACAAATATCTCATGAGATCAAACCCTTGATCGCGAAACTTATAATGATTCGGCGAATCATCAAATGATCTTAAGAATGCATGAAATTGTGTACGATACTAGTTTTTGAGATGCACAAATAGAATGGTGGCCTTGATCTTCTTATTTATGAGGCCCCTAACAAAGAAAACAAAGAAATTTAGATGAGGAGAGAATGCTTAATTTGTTCCTAAGAGGAAAGAAACCACCACACAAAAGACTATATAATATGTGCCACGAAAGTCTCAGGCACATAAGCATTTGCAAATAAAAAACTACAGCATTTATGCTAAGGTAGAGAATATCGAAATAGAGGCGGAGCAAATGATCATAAACTATCGCACGAAGAGAAACCACCACACAAAGAGCGGACCAAATGATCCAAACAAGGCTGAAAAGCAGAGAGAGGAGAGGGAGAGGAGAATTCACAGCAACAATTAATCCAAACAAGCGAGAGAGAAAGAGGTAGAATTATATCCGTAAGAATTGCGAGAGAGAGAGAGAGAGAGAGAGAGGGAGAGAGGGGGGTTAGGACAAGAATCACGAGAGAGGCAGCCCCGTAAGGATCGCGAGAGAAAGGGATGTTATGGCAAGACTCGCGAGAGAGAGAAAGGCTGTGGGGTAACGCGAGGGAAGCCCCGTCACAACATAATGAAGGAACGCGAGCCGCAGGGTCGAACCCGCGGCTGTGTTTTCTCTCGATTAATCCAAAGAAGTAGCTACACCACACTTTCCAAATGACAGACCCAGCGTTTCAAAGTCACGCTGCAGCAAATAATCCGCCCCAAACGGGCTCTTAGGGCATCATTAACACCTAAATTAGAAGCCAACAAAATAGATGGAGAATTTATAATGCTAACACAAGTGGTTAAGTATTTATATTTCACACAAATCCTCTACATCAATTCAATTCATAGTATATTTGGTATATTCCATTTCCTTCGAGATCATTCCACATTAATTGTATCTACCCATCATATTGATGAACTTATACGCTCTGCATGTTTAGATCACATTTGTTTATTTTTTATATTGTTATTGTGAAGCGCTTGCATATGATTTGTGAACTAGAACCCATAACCCATACTTGCTAGCACTTTCACCCTTTTTCCTCTTCTCATGTTGCCACCTCATTTTTTAATGGGAAATTGACTCTCTGATCATCAATCATGAAAAATTGTAATTATTTATAATTATTAGTTTGCTAATCAATCCATGGATTGTTATAATTATTTTATTGTCATTATTCTCTGATTTTGTATGTTTGCAATTAATTCCTAGGATTATATAAATAAGGCACAAATGTTTGAATGAAATGCATAATCAATTCTCTTCAATTATTGTCATGGTATTAAGAATAAGGTTTTCTCTTCCTCTTAGTTCCATTACTGCAACCGATATCATTATATTGTCATGACCCTATGGCCTTCATTATTGCTCTCTTCATTTTCCCTTATTCTTCTATAATTACAACATTCATCACTACATTGTCACAAATATTCCATGTTGTTTCAGCCTTCATCAATTGCATTGCTGCAAATTAGTACCATTACTTTTTTTTTCTCCTTTAAAAATACCAACCAATGGTGACCGCTTAAGAAAATTTCTTCATTCTACTATTATTTTTAGTAAATTATTTCTCTCTCCAATTAGATTTATGTTACATCTCTTAATTCCTCACAAATTTAGAAATATCCTCACAAATTAGCTTTTTCTCCTAAACTGCCATTCCTTACTCATTCCAACTAACTAATCTATTCCAAAAACCAGCCAGTACAGCCTAAATTGAGCCTATGCCAGAACCACGTTCTGCCAAGTCATTACAGGTTTACTAAAAAAGGAAGACATCTCAGTCCATGCAAGTCCAATTAACCAAATTGATTCTTATAAAAAAAAAAGGTAAAAGAACTTACACTAAATATCCTTTTCATTTATTTTTATAACACAAAAAGCTCTCCTAATGATCAATCCTTCCTTACTAGCACACATACTATTTTTATACCTAAAATAGTCTATGGGGCCTTAAATGATATGAATTGGAATGATGCTATGAGACAATAAATGAAAGCCCTTCAAAAAAAAATATGAGAATCAGCAAAGTTATTACAAGAAAAAAAATCAGTAAAATTTAAATGGGCCTTTACCTATAAAATATAAATTCAAAGGTGCAATAAAACCGTACAAATCATACTAATGGCTATATGCAACATTCGAATATATAAGATATATTATCTTAAAATTTTTCTATGGTTTCCAAAATAAATATAGCTAGAGTTATTTTACCTTTGGCATCTAACAAAAGCTTGAAGATAAAAGAATAATGTCATTTTATATGATGATCTAGAAGAAGTATATATGGAGATCTAATTGAAATTTAGTATAAATATTGAACAGAAGGTTCATAAGCTTAAAAAGCCATTATATGGTTAAAGTCATCTCAGTGGGCATGGTTTGGAAAGTTCGCCAAGGTAAAACTAATAATGGGATACAAATAAAATGAAAAAAACACATGATTTCAAGGTGTCTCTGTACTACTAATTTAAGTTGATGAAATTATAATGACAAGTAATGTCTTCAATGAAACAAAGAATTTAAGGAAAAAATTGCTCGGAGAATTCAAAGTCAAAGAATTAGGCAAGCTAAAATAATTGTGGGGCATTGAAGTTGCAAAATTTCAACATGAATTTTTCATATAGAAATAAATAACGGGCATAATAAAAAAATGAGTATACTAAAATGCAAACCCATTAAAAGCCCAATGAAATTTTATTATAAACTAGAACATGCTCTAGAGAACATGACAGCAAGAAAAAATCTTCTATCAAAGACTAATAGGAAGACTTATTTACTTATCATATATTAAACCTAACGTTACTTGCATTATTGGTGTCTTGAGTTAATTCATGCATAATCATAAATAATCACACCTTATGAGAAGATACAAGATTCTATAATATTTGAAAGGGACCCAAACAAAAGAATTATATTCAAAAAAGGAAAAGAATTTGACTCTTAAAGCATAAAGTAACATAGATTATGTGGGTTATATGATAGATCAGAGTCGATTTTAAGGTTTTGGACGTTTTTAAGAGGCCATCTCATGACTTGGAAAAAGTAAAACATAAAATATAATATTGAAATCTAATGAAGAAGCCTAAGTTATATCTATGTCTTAGGGAATCTGTGAATTGTTATTAACTAAAAATTATCATGAAAGATTTAAAGGATGAACGAAAAGATCTCATGCGACTTTGATATGATAATATGTCAACCATCAAGATACATAATCCCCTACACCATAATCATATAAAAAACAGTTTATAAAGGCGTGAGATATGTAGATACATTAAAATTTGGTGCCATGTACGTAAATGTAACAACCCCCAACCAACGCCGCAACACCCCCCCCACAAACCCCAAAACCCCAAAACCCCAAAACGCCAAATAAAAAAGATAGTAGAGGCATAATAAAGAAGAGCCTTAATAACCTTAGTAGAACCGAGCTTTGAGGTGAACCCAAACTTCAAAGTCTGTCGTTGATCATTAACAGGAAAAGCACTTTCTCCCTTGCTTGATTCTTTTGAGACCTCACTCTGTTCTTGAAGCTGCCCATGCTGTCTTCTGTGAGCATCTGCCCTGCAGCGGTTAAATTTATGTTAGAATGAACATTTGTGCATCACATATGTAAAATAGATGTAAACAAGCCGAAAACGCAAACATACATTTGCGCAGCAAACTTGGCCAGCTCTTTTTCTTGGCGCAATTGCTCCTTTTTCTGCCTATCATCACGACTGCTGCCGGCATGCATTTCTCTCATTTCCTTAAACCGCTGTGATAAAAGACAAAAGTATGAAAAATGGAAAATAATGGGTTCGATTGCATAAGTGTGAATTGCTTCTTGCTCTTCTCAAAAGGATAATTTAATTTGTACAACGGTACAAGAATACATTGGAAAAAAAATTTAACTTCTAAATGATAAAAAATGGCAGCTCTTTTTTGCATGTTGGAGGGATCATCACAAGCAAGTAGATGAAATGGTCAAGTTGACGGCTGTCTTTTTTGTAATTTTAAAAATTCATTAAATCTCTTTTTCCCACTCATGTCCCCACGAAAAATGTGACAAAAATCAGGTGGCAGAGAAGTTTGTGTTTGCCTATAAATACGAAACCTTATATTTTGGGGGGCATGGCATTTGCTTGCATGGCACCCAATTCCTATGTATTTACATATCTAACACCTAAACTTTGTTTTTTACATCTATAACACCCAAATCTTTCATATTACATCAAAAATACCACTTTTTTAACATTTAAAAATTAAAGTACATTTTTTATGCATAGGAAAGAAGGTATGCATGTCAAAATTGAAGTTTAGGTTTTTAGATATGTAAATACGTAGGAATTGAAAGGTATGTATGTATATCATCCTCTTTCTTGCTTTCTTTTATTTTTTTTAGGTTAGATTTCAGATTTGCAGCTTTCACTCTTATTTTCTTGTTAATTTGAATATTTCTGAGAATGAATAACAGTCTTCTTAACTACATTGGCTAGCTGCAGGAGAGGCTCTTAATTCATTAGTCGTAGATTGGTTCTCTCTTTAGTTTTTTTTTTTTTTTTCTATTCTTTTTTCTTTTCTTGGATTAGGTGCATTAGGATTCCTTTAATTAAGCCTTTTGCATTAGGATTCCTTTAATAAAGCCTTTTGAATTAGGATTCCTTTACTTAAGCCTTACTTTAGTTTAGTCTTCTGACAGTGCAATATTTTTTTTTGGGCATTTACATACATACCCCCGAAGTCCTATGTATTTACATATTTAACATCAAAACATCATCCTTTACACTTATTTACATGCATACCACCCAAGTCCTATGTATTTACATATTTAACATCAAAGCATCATCCTTTACACTTACACCACTCAAATCATTCATATCACATAAAAAATATCACAAGATTAACCTTTAAAAACTGAGACGACTCAAATCATTCATATCACATCAAAAATATCACCAGATTAACTTTTAAAAATTGAGACAAACTGAGACGCCCCTTTTTCAGCATGGGTAAATTGGCATGTATGTAAAAGTTGAAGGTTAGATGTTAGATATGTAAATACATTGGTACTGAGTGGCATGTATGTAATAAATCTTCGTATTTTTTTTTACTCTTTATATTCTTATTGGCATTATTTCGATATCTATGGTCCCAAGCACCTCTCAAAAACTGAGGTGTTCATACCAATAAACTCCTGTAATTTTCTAGGTTATTGGTTGAAGGAATCAGCAAATTCCAATGAACTGTATTAAAAAATAAAGGAAAAAAATGAATTTTTTCAAGGGGTGATCGGATGTGTTATGGAGCGATGAGATGTCCAGGATTGATTACGACTGATGTAATAATATTTGATTATTTGATATAAGTTATAGATTGAATAAATACAATTTATGTTGTGCTCCGATTGTCGGTGTGAATCACCACTGGCAGAATGTTATCTTTGGTGTTGGTTTAGGTGTGAGACATGTAAATAAGCCGTTTCAATGCATAGGTTTAAAGCGCCAAAATACTATGTATGTAAATATGAAAGTTTAGGCGTGACATATGTAAATACATAAGAATTGTGTAAATACAAAAAAAAGAGAGAAATTTATATACATAGTAGGCACCTCTCAAATTTACATAAACTGTGGTGTTTATACTGGGCTTTAGTTTTACCATTATATAAACTCCTGTAATTTTCTAGGATATTAGTGGAAGGGATCCAGAAATTCCGATGAAAAGTATTAAAAAATAGGGAAATAGACATAAATACCACACAATTCCTATGTATTTACATATCTAACACCCAAAGTATGAAATTTACATTTACAACACCTCGATGATAGAAAATTATGCATGAAAAGGTGTATTTCATTTTCGAAAAGATAGCGATGCTAGTACGTTTCATGTGATGTTAAAGATGAGTGGTATGCAAGTAAATATGAATGCTTAGGTGTTAGATATCTAAATACATGAGACTTATTTGATTTGTATATAAATGGCCCTTAAAATTATAGAGAAAAAATGATTTTCTTTTGTTTTTAATTAGAAGCCCTTCTCAATCAAACAAAAAAGGAAATTAAAAAAAAATCACTTTCCTCAAATAAGACAAGCATTCAAACCTTTCTATGGTTGTGGTCATAAGAACTCAAATGTGCTTCAAATTCCACAGCCAACTTATATTGCTTGCAGCAGAGACTGCAAAAAAACACCTTCTTTATTTCCTTCACCTCAGTTTGGATCTTCTGTCCGCGCTCTGCTATAACCTGGATTTTCATCAATTTGCACGAACGAGGCAGTAGAGGCCACCAGATAATAAAAATTGCACGAAAATCTCAAGACCCTTGAAACTTTGATATTCTCTCATACAACATTCCCTACTACTCGACGTAAGCTTCAAAAGTCAAGCCATAACATCGATCCAGATAAGTAAATTATGATGACATTGTTCTTCGAAGACGTACCTCTCGCTTCTTAGCGAGCTCCTCGGTCTCGTCGAGTTCAACTTCGAGTTTTCTCCTCTGGACATTCTCTTCAGCGGTAAAAAAGTCATCTTGTTCTTGCTTTCCCACACCTAATTTTGGATCCCGGATGCCCGCTTTTATGGGTTCAACTATGCCTACAATCCACATGAAATGGGTATAATCAATCAAATAGATTATATCATTATAGCGCATAAAAAGTTGGAGGATTTGCATACATGAAACTCAATTCTCATGTACTCACATATATCTAACATCCAAACTTCAATTTTTACATATATTCCACCTAACATGAGAAGGTGTATTTTACTTTGTAAATGTTAAAATAGTGGTATTTTTTATGCGGTATAAAATATTTGGGTGGTATAAATGTAAAAAGTGAAGCATAGGTGTTAGATATATAAACACATAAGAATTGAGTGGTATGTATGTAAAGTGCCCTAAAAAGTTTAAGCATATTGATCCAATAATGTGTATGAGAAAGCATCTACAAGGTGGAAAACAAATAAGCAAAACACATAAATAAATGAGTTTTAAATGAGTCTTAAATTTATCTTTGCCAATTGCACAAATAATGATCAAGGATGTTAAACCCAGACTGACTCGAAAGTTTAAATGGGTGGTGTAATAAATATTAAAATTATTTTAATTTGATTTAAATGATATAAAAATGATATAATAAAAATATTTTACTAATTCAATGTATAACATTCTAATTTAGGATGCTTAACTTTTAAATATTTTGAATACGATTTAAAATTAAAATTTGGGGATATGATATTTTAAACATTTTCTCAACTTTTAAATATAAATTTTTTATTTCCAATAATCGGATCAAAATCAGAAGACCAAAATTGCTAATTATTAAATCTGAACGGTTCATAAAAAATTGGTCCGGTCAACCGGTTCTGTAGCTTAATCACCAGTTTTTTACGGTGCTGGCCAATTCTTTATAGAAACGATTTTATCCTAAACCAAATAGCTAGATGCCCGATTCACAGTTGAACCAGTCGAACTAGCAAGTCGAGTCTAATTTTTAAAATGTTGATAATGATGATGATGCCTTTCAATGCATTGCAAAAATATGCACTAGATGGATGATTCACAAAAACCGTGGTGATACGTCATTTCATAAAGTTGGCAAAATCTCTACCCAAAGCAACCAAACAAATTACAAAACGAAATAGAATCACTTTGGATGAAAATATAATGATATCAAAATAATCTGCTATATTACAATCCACTCATGTAGTGAAAAACTTTCAATGAAATAGATGCAGATATGACTATCCAAAAAGAATATTAATAATTCCATTTTCAACAAAAAATAGTAGCTCAACGCATTCAACACTGGTCAAAAGAAAAGAAGCTTAAATTCCTAGATTAAAATATTTTATTTAATAAAGCAGCTTAATCTATATATTCAGTACATTATAAAGTTAATTAAGATGATTATGACTTCTAGTACATTGCAAGAATATGTACAGCAACGAAATAATGCATAAACGCCATGGTGAGATGTCATCTAATAACGTTTACAAAAGCTCTAACCAAAGGAATTTAGCAAATTATAACATCAAATAGAATTGTAATGGAGAAACTAAACAAAAATTTTAAAATAGAATATTATTGCACTCAAATCTTTAACATCACATAAAAAATAGCACTATTACCACTTTTTAAAAGTGAAATACAATCTTTCATGCATATGTTTGAAGCACCAAAATGTAATGTATGTAAATATGAAAGTTTAGGTGTGAGATATGTAAATATATAAGAATTGTGTGCTGCATATGCATATTTTCCCAAAAATTAGCACACCTTGCTCATCTTTGCCAAGGCCCTTCCCTTTCCATCCCATCTTCTGTAGAAGCCTATAACCAACATTCGAGGAAGTGAGCTTTGTATCCAGAGACGCTTGCTCGAGGTCCTCTAAGTTAAGGTTCTCCACAGGTCTGTGATTGATCGGCAAACGAAAATCTTCAGCAGAGTCTTTGGTGAGGAAATCCAGATTTGCCTATATTCAGAATTGAGAATCAGGCTGAATTCTTTAACAATATAAATATGGAAGATTTACATATACATACATACCACTCGTTACATACATACCACTCGATTCTTATGTATTTACATTTCTAGCACCTATACTTCAATTTTTACAAACACGTCAGCTTATACGTGAATAAAAATTTGTATTTCACTTTTTAAAAGTTAAAAGTTAAAAGGGTGGTATTTTTTTATGTGATATGAAATATTTAGGTGATATAAATGTCAAAGGAAAATTTTAGGTGTTAGATATGTAAATACATAGGAATTAGGTGGCTTGTATGTAAATGCCCCAAATATGGACACTTGAAGTAACTGAAAGCATAAGATAATACCTCTGCTAAAGGAACATTTAACAGATCCCGTTCTCTTCGCAGATTGTACGGATCTCTTGTTTGCTTAAATCTTTGACCATCCATTCAGATAAACTAAACAAGATTTCCAAACATAAAGAACCAAAAAGAATATATTAGAGTTCGACCTAAGCAAGAAAGCAACAAAAAAGTGACAGTTATCCCCTTAATATTCATATATCTAACACCTAAAACCCCAAAAAATTCATCCTTTCAAAAAAAAAAAAAAAAAAACACCTAAAATTTCATATTTACATACTAAGTACTTCGGTGCTGTAAATCTATGCAGGAAAATATATATTTCACTTTTAAAAAGTATTTGCAGTGTTATTTTTTATGTGATAGTAGAGATTTGAGTGCTATGTGTGTAAATATTAAAGTTTAGGTGTGAGATATGTAAATACATAAGAATTGTGTGCTATGTATGTAAATGCCCCAAAAAACAAACTAGAAGATGGAAACTATTAACTGCAAGAAACCCAATTAAAAGCTACCTTGACTTCGAAAATGAAAGGGGCATTTACAAAAATACCACCTAACTCCTATGTATTTACATCTCTAACACCAAAACTTTGCTTTTTTACATTTATACCATTCAGATCATTCATATCACATCAAAAAAACCATCATTTTAACTTTTAAATAGTGAAATAAACTTTTTCATACATAGATAAAGTGTTTTGTATGTAAAAAATTAGATTTGGTTTTAGATATATAGACAGTAGAAAAGTTTTACATCATAAAAGGCCCATAAAACCATGAGCCATAATCATAAGAACGGAAAATTCAAACCGAAGTGTCAAGCACAGGAAGGGATCAGTAAACAATGTCAATCAGTTATATCATTTGTACATCAAGCTATGGTATGGCTCAACCAACAAAATCTAACTCAAAATTATGTTCAAAGAAAACTAAAAAAGTGATAAAATGTTTTAAAGAAATTCGGCAGGAAATCTATTAAGTGCAGAAAGTAGTCCCTTTTTCCTGTCATATTTACCTTTTCAATATAAAGAATCATCAACACTTAAAATCAAAGTCAAGGCTGTTGAACTTCCTCTTTTATTGATGACATCAGGTAGACAATCATTTATTTGATTTTAAACTCATTCAATCACGTAATAAATCTTCACTCATGGATAATCCTAATGGTATATTACCATATTTTATAAAAAAAACAACAACAACAAATTTTTATCCCACTATGTTGGGTCGGCTACATGAATCATTTTTCTCCATTGTGTCCTATAAAGTGTCATATTTTCATTTAATTCTAAGATATTAAGGTCATTTTTTATATAATATGACCAAGTCTTTTTAGGTCTACCTTTATCTTCCCTAAAGTTGAATCTAAAACATTTACTCTCCTAACTGGATCATCTGATGATCGACATTGAATGTGAGCGAATAATCTAAGACATCTATGTTTAATCTTGTCCGCCACTGGAGCTACACCAACCCTGTCACGGATATATTCATTTCGCATTTTGTCTCTAAGTGTCAAGCCACTCATCCACCCAAGCATTTTCATCTCAGCAACTATTAACTTTGTTTTATGCTTCTCTTTTAAAGGTCAACATTTTGCGCCATAGAGCATTGTAGGTCTAACCACCATCACATAAATGTAACTTTAATTCTAAGCGGTACTTTTCCATCACGCAATAGGCCCGATGCATTCCTTCACTTCAACCAGCCGACTTGAATTCTACTAATAACATCCCCATCTATATCACCATCTCTTTGAACAATATACCTGAGATACTAAAACGTTCACACCTTTTAATGATTTGATCACCCATAGTTACAACCCTTCCATTAGAGCTATTACTACTAAAATAACATTCAATGTATTCAATTTTAGATCCACTCAAACGAAGGCCTTTAGACTCCAATGTAGACCTCCATAATTCAAGTTTTTCCTGAAATTTTTCTCTAGTCATATCGACAAGAATAATAACATCAACGAAAAGCATACACCAAGGTACATCTTCTTGTAAATGTTCAGTAGAAGCATCCATAACTAAAGCAAAACGATATGTTCTTAAAACTGATCCCTAATGTAATCCAACAGAAATATGAAAATACTTGATCAATCCTACTTCTGTTCGAGCACGTAACGGCTCTACTATAGATATATGTAATTACTTGAATATAAGTCATATCAGCACCTTTCTTATCTAGAACTCTCCAAAGGACTTCTCTTGGAACTTTATCGTATGCTTTTTCTAAATCAATAAAAATTATAAGAATCATAAGTAAATCATCTTTACTCTCTGTACACCATATTTTATTTAAGAAAAAAAATCAAAAAAAATTTCATGTGTGCCTCGCTTCTGATTTGGAATTAAAGGCTTTATTTATGCTGATTTGGTACGGCACCGGCCAAAGTTGGTCGTTCTTCATAAAGAATATAGCTTCATAGGTGGTTCCTCCTACAACTTATGCCACATGTAGCATCGAATCTCATTGAAGCGCGTTTATCAAGCTTCTGTAACCATTTTTCATATTCTATCCTTTTTGTTTAGTGAGCATTGCTAGAACATGTAATTTATTTAAAACTCCAATCTACTTAGGACCTGTTTGACATCAATTTTATTTTACATTTTTTTCATTTTTTTATTTTATTTAAAAAACATTTTGTTTAGTACATTTTCTGCATATTTTTGTTTTTTATTTTTAAAAATAAATCAACTTATTTTTAGAAACACTCAAAATAACATGTGTGTGTTTCGACTTTCGAGTGTTTTTAAAAACTGTTATTGCAATCAAATATGTAAAAACAAAAATAAACAAAAATAAAAGTGATCATAATCGGATCTTAGTTTCCATTAATATTCATAGCAATTACTTCAACATTAGACCATATTCAACCATGATGATTTTCAATTTAGAAAATCTATCATTACAATCCAAACAAGAAAAAAGAGGAAGCCATCACATAATGTAAGAAGGGCAGAAGTGGCATGGCTACAATGGCTAAGTGCAACAAAATTTTTAATGTTGACTCTTGCATGGTGTTGTTCAAAGAGAATAATGTATTTCAAAACAAAAAAAACAACCTTATGGTGAGGTATAGGTTTAATTTATTTTTAAGAATCCACATATTTTAAGGCCTTGCATTCAGATTAAAGGGACAATCTTTTCAGAGGGTGACGCATGAGTTTTAAGGTCTTAATAACCATATAAGACTTATGATCACAATTGGAATAACATTGCTTAGCCTCATTAAGTTTTTGATTTTAGTAACCAATGCCTCCTCTCAAAGCATCCAAGCTATCTTAACCACTTTTGAGAGGTCAAGTTGAAGAAGGATAATGAATTTATTCTCATTTTAATAAATTTGAAAGCAATATTGATTCAAGAAGACCAATAACTTGCTCCCTTATTTATGATCATCAATGGATGAATAATCATGTTAAATGTTATAATAAATCATCCGTACAAAATCATAAACAATAAAAACTATAAGCCCCAAACACAAAATTGAGGGTTAGCCCATTCAAAATGACCAAAATTATAGCAAGAAAAAATAGAGACTCAATCAACACAAACAAAAAATCCCATTAGATAAATGTCTTTCATATGCTATTATATTCAAGACCCTACAAAAAGAGTGGAGCGGACAATTAGGAGGAGACTACGAGTTAAAGGTATTTGGTTGCAGGGCATATGCTCGCAATAGGCAAGAAAAGTTAGAACTAAGAGCACTTGATCGATAGGAATATTGTCTTTAATGAGTAACAAAAGACAAATTAAATTCCAACAACCAAAAATTGAAAGTTGAGGTGGAGCAAGCAATCTTTGAAATTCTTAAAACTAATTATCAAGAATCAACAGGGGGAAATTGAAAGAAGTACGATTCAAGCACCACCAAGGTATGGATTAGCAAATCTCATTTCAAATGCATCTATAGTTGGTTTTCTATGAGAATAAGAGCCATGGTCTTATAAGTAGGTAATGAAAAGTTTAAAAAGAAATAAAGAAAATTTAAATGATGACGGTCTCTAAATAAAAAAAGTGTTAGCGCAAATCTCGAGGAGATCCAACAGTCCAAAAGGAATAAAGTGCTACAAAGGAGAGCCCACAAACAGAAGGCTAGGAGGCTCACATATCCAATCGAACGTAGCCGTTCGAGCCAAAGCCAAAGCCAAAGAACTGCCGAGCCAAAAAAAATTACTAAAAGAACGATCACATGATATTGAATACAAACTCATTAGATTAAAGCAATACAAATAAGTATTCAAGCTAACCGCTGAGAGAAAGCCGATTGAATCCATTGGCCTACTTTTCGGTAGAGTCGACTCAAGAAAAGAATCTAGTTCCTGACCATCACCCGTCATCCCATGGACGCCCCTAAGGATTCTCATCAGAAATCAATATTTGACAATACAGTAGAGTCTTATAGTCATCCCACAGACTCTCCTCGTCGAGAAATGAGCTACCTATCGGGCTACGATGATTCGACATCTCCCTGATAACCTAGTCCCCCCCAACAGAAGCTCCTCATTTAGAGATCGAGATTTGACTGTCAGACTAAATCGGTCGATCGATAAAGCCTTGTCGACTGAATTTCTGTATACCCAAAGCTAATCAAACCTAGCTAAGCTGCAATGATGACTCAGCCTAGCCGGCCTGGCTAGCCTTATCGAGCCAACTGAGCAGCTGAGCAATTAGCTCGTGTGTGTAAAATACTTAGAACAATAGATACGAATTCCGCCAAAGTATTGTACCCCCTCCTCTATAAATAGAAAGATCATTTGAAGAGATTGATAAGAGGTGTTATTGTTTGTTACTGTTCACTCCTCTTTCTATCTCTCTCTTTTACATTTTACATTCTATTCTTTTGGGTGTGATTCACAAACAAATCAAAATTCAACACATAAATACAACTCAATTCTTATGGATTACATATCTAACACCTAAACTTCACTTTTTACATATCTGTCACCTTAACTATGCATGAAAAAATGTATCTCATTAAAAGTTAAAATGCTAGTATTTCTCATGTGATGTAAAAGATTTAAGTGGTATATATGTACAAAATAAAGTTTAGGTGGAGATATGTAAATACATAGAAATTGGGCAAATAAATAAATGGCAATAAGAGATAAATGATTAAAATTTCTCTCTTGAATCTTAATAAAAAGGGCCAATTACATACATAGCACCCAAAACATTGCCATTTATTTCGTCATAATAAGCCCAAAACTCAACCTAACCAAAAAGAAAGCAGACTCGTAATCGGCCGCAAATCTGATAAGAAGACGTCAATATTTGAGTCTATACATCCTTCTAGCTCTGATCCCAGGTGCATGCAATTAACAAGAGTCAGCTCTTTCATCATCATCAAATAGATTTCTCTGGATCCCCATAAAACTAGCTAAAAATCTCCTTTTTTCGGATACATCGCGCAAGAATGACAACCTAAGACAGTGTAATCTAGCAAAGAAAACTATCAATTTGACTTGAAAGCGTGCCGTGATCAGATCATAAGAACAAAGTCAAACCCTCTCATTCACCTCTGTCGCATATGGATCCGTGGAGATCAACATAAAAACAAAGCACCATCGAGAACTAACCTCGTGTCTCGGCAAACACAGTGGAGAGAAGGAAGCCGCCACTCGCAACGTCAAAGATAATAGAATCGCTGGCGATCGAAGGTGGTGAGAAAGACGACCTTTGATTTTTTATCAGCGAAGCTCGGCGAGAAGAAGTATTGGAGTGGACAAGCCGACGGCATTGTTTAGGGAGAAATATTCCCTCAGTACTAAGCATTACGGTGCTTAGCCAATATAAATGCGTCACTTGGAAATCTAAAAGACGGACATAATACCTTCTGGTGTTTTGGATATATATACGATAAATTTGACATACAAGCATGCATGCATGCATACACACATACATATATTGAACATCAATTTGACACTCTAAATCATAAACCTTGACACTCTAAATCATAAACCCTAAAAGATGACGGACATTAATTTCACTTTTATGAATTAATGAGAAGCACATTTAAATTGTCATCTTTCTTAAATTATGATTAAATCATGACAAAGAGTTCTTCAAACAATGATCAGGCATATTAGACATGTTTGTTCATGATTTAATAATCAATCGATCATCATTGAGTCATATTCAATAAATTATGGTCGAAGATAGTTCAGTCATAGCATGATCATTTTTCGATTATAAGCATAATATTATTCAAAGATTATTCAATCCTAATTGATTATGATTGGAATTTGATTTAATCATGAAATGATATTTATTTTATCATTGTTTGAAGATGGCTAGAAGATTCAATCATTGATTGATTATTGTTTGAAGTTGTTTCAAATATTATTTGATCATTGTTTGATTATGATATCGTTTATGAAAGTTTTATACGATGTAGTTATTAGAAATTTAATTTACTTGTTTCAGTTATTTTGCTATGTATGTAGATATAAATTCTAATAATGTGAAAGGAGAGGCATTGCATTTCTCTAGTCAAACCTGGAGTTGGGTTATGAACGAAAAATAAGGTATTTAGTTTGGAGCTGTTGATCTCGTTGAAACTACGAATAAATCCTTCTTTTGATCACCTCTTCGTTGATTTTGAGATGTAGTTGTCTATGTCCTTCATTCATCAGTTGTTTGATGAATATGAGAATGAAGGATGCATCATTGCATTCAACATTGAAGAGAAAGTCATCACATTTAATAATAATGATGTTGCCTTAATCAATAGGTTGCAATTTGACAAATTTCCATCCAAGCACAAGTATTAATTAGATGATGAGCAAATGTTGCATGTTCAGAAAAACTACATGGATGGTGATGAAATTGCTCGTGAGAATATTCATCGTATTTAATGAGAATACATATGGAAATGTTTGCTATTATCTAAAATTCAATCGATCATGGTTGGTTTTCTCTCACCAGGGAACTTAATTTATCTTGTGTAAACATTGTGATGGCTTCATAAATCTAGAATTATAATGATATCATACATCCAATTATAATTTATTAGTTGACTCTTTTGCTTAGGTTAGTTGCTTTATAATGCATCACATATTTGTTAAGGTCTTCTACCTTCTTTTCCTATACAAACTTAAATCATGGGTATAAGAAAAAGGCCTCTTCATATTCAATTATGTCAAACATCTCAGTGAGTACAATTATATTTGTCTTGAATAAGAAGGACAACACCCATGAAAATATTTAGCAAGAGGTTTGACACATTATATAACACAATGCACTACATGAAAATTTTGAGCCTATATTTTAATAGTCCTCTTCACCATCCAAGTAATTTTCCCAAGCATGCAACTTTCACTTATCATCTAATTAATACTCATGCATAGACGGAAATGTTTCAAAATGTAGCCAATTGATTAAGCCGACATCATTATTGTTAAATGTGACGATTTGCACTCCAATATTGAATGTAATGGTGCATCCTTCATTCTTACATTCATCAAACATTGATAAACTAGGGACATAAAGAACTACATCTTAAAAGCAACAAAGAAGTGATCAAATGGGGTTTTACATGCATTTTCAACAAGATCATCGGCTCCAAACTATATACCTAATTTTACTATCACAATCGAACTCCACGGGTGACTAGAGAAATGCAATGCCTCTCTTTTGTATGATTAGTTTTGATACCTAAATACATAGCAAAATAACTCAAATAAGTAAAATTCGTAGTTCATAAAAATATGATTCTCGGAGCCCAATACAATATTAATCCAAACTAATCTCATAATCCAAACTAATCTCATTCCCAGTTCATCAAAACCTCAACTTGAATCAAAATCTGCACTGCTCCCATCTGCTCTGAAACTTCTGTGTGGATCGAAGCTCGTTTGCACTCCCTGATTGCGATATTCCTCTCTTCGCTCCTTCACACAAACCTATATTTCTCTGTGTCCTTCGCCAATGAAGAGGGACATGGAGAGGCTAGGGCATAACTTTCAACCGCGAAGTGAAGGAATGCCAAAGAAGGGGGAGCGGCTGAGCTTTCGAATTGCGATGAGGGAGCGGCTTCTTCCGCAAGGGCAGCGGAGTGAATCGTGATGAGGGAACAGTGGAGTGAATCGCGATGAGGGAGCTGCTTCTTTCGTGAGGGGCATCTTCCGTGAGGGCAGCGAGGAGCGGCTTCTTTCGTGAGGGCAGTAGAGTAATACACAACCTTCATACGCGACCAAAACGCCGACCGCAAGCATGAGACCGCGGCTCGCGTCCTTCGCAAAATGAAAACTCTGTTTTTAAATACACATCTTGTACATGTGATCCAAACAACAAGGCAGTGTTTTCACACTTTTAAGCTGCCCCAAACGGGCCCTAAAACTTAACAGACAACAAAAAAGATATATTTGAATCCTACAACCTACATGATCTTAAATCCCTTTTTTTTTATGTTTTGCCTAGTTAATTCTAGAAATATTTCAAAAAAAATTAATTCTAGAATTTAGCAAACCTTGTTGGAAGATGGACCTACGGATTTAGAGAAGTTGCACACGAATATGGCTCAAAGAAAGCACGAGAACGATGAGGGTTATTTTCCACTATGGTTCTGCTAGGAGCGGACGAGAGGATGAAAGCTTCAGCGGTCTCCGTCAGTTATAATCTCGTTGTTGCCTTCTCAGCTAGCTCTAAGCACGAATGTAACACGAGTATTCAGTTACAAAGCCGACGATTTTGGGTGAAACATTGAGAAAGGGAGGCGGAAGATCAAAGGGTTTCAGTGGCTACAAAAGGAGGCGAGGGAGAGGTGAGGTTGTCACGCTCTAACCTCATAATCAATCATTCTAAATGACCGCGAGAGGTGGTGGTCGATCAAATCAGGAAGGCGGTATGAGAGGGGGGAAGAAAAGATGGTAAGATCTCGATGTCTTGAATAAAAAAGGCAACGAACATGGAAGGAAAAGAAATAATCGCATGATAACAGGATGAAAAGATAAGACTTTGGTTCTTATATATACTCTGACATTTGTGGACGAAAATTATTTTGCATAGAGC